AGTAAATTTCATGTTTAACCGATATTATTAAACATTTATGTGACTATAGCTGATTATTCGGACAAGCAGTCTACATGCTAAATCCCAACAGATTATTTTGAGCCAGTTTTTGGCGAACTTCTATCATACAATCGCCCATTCAGCTTTTGTATGGCAGTGACATTGCACTGAGGATGACTTAATGGACTAGAATACTTTGCCGCATATCCTACGGACGTAATCTTCCAAACACTATGCTAGCACAAAGGTGGCGGTCGTCTTGGTCTTTAGGGCATATTAAACTCCGCGTAAGAAATAAACCTCGCTGACATAGTCCTTGAGTGTTGCAGGAACGTAATCCGTCAAACCTGGACGAAATAACTCTCGTAAACAATAGAACTATGCCATTTGTCTACGGTCGAAAACTGAAAGCTTTTGTTTTGCTACTGATTGCAAACAGTTAAAAAATAGTAAAACGCTTTGCAGAAAAAGAACGTTCAACTAGTAACTACTGCAATATTCTCTGCTGGGCATATTATAAACGACTCACGTTATTGCCATAGTCAATAACTTATACGAAATATAGATTAGATATGGAACTTTTTTGTTGACCAGAAAGCATTTTTTAACATCCTTTTCAAACAGAACCCGATATGTGTGGCATGCGACGTCCAGTGTTTACTCAAGAAATGGGTCCATTCATTTTTTCTACCCTGCTTCCAGGGAAACCATTGTTAAGCTTGGGAGACGCAATGGTTTAAGCAACTAGTGGGGGATTTGAGTTTATATTGAATTTGTGTTTTCGATTATTGAAGCGTGTCATCATCAATGCTGAAGAATTTTCCGTAGACGCTGAGGAAGGAAACTGCAAGAGTGGTAATCCAATTGAAGACTTTAAATGCAACGTCGAGATATGTAAGTGAACATTATTTTTGGAATTTACGATTTGCGCATCACGTCTAAAGAGAAAACATTTTAGTTTTATTAAGGGAATTTATGCAGGCACTAATGCCACTTGTCGTGCAAATCTCAAAACTCGTATGTTAGTCGCTTTTTCGACGGTCTGAGGAAAACAAAAACGTGTTTTTAATGTTAAATCTTGTCTGAAAGGTATTCTGCACTTTTATTTTCCTAACTTAGGCCTTGTACCGAAGGTGGTGTCACTTGTGAATGTTGCATGATGGGGATGGTGCTGATATCATGCATCTTTTGCATCTTTTCGCTTTCAGTGGCGGAATTCTCGCGAATTACTATTTTCCTTCCGGAAATCGTAGGCATTGACGAAATCTTCATTGGGGCTCTAGTTACGGATGCACCAGGTGGACTCTCCTGGATCTCAGTCGAACGTCGGGAGTTTGCCTTATGGAAGATATGTACGTCATATGCAGCATAGCCAGATAATTACTTCAGTTTGATAGCTTTTGTGATACTAAACTTGACCACACTTAGAATTTTCTATTTGCAGTCACACCTTATATGCACTACATGTATTTTAGCAAAGTTTATATTCGAAGATAAAGACACAGCATTTAGCTGTGTTAACGAATCGCATTTGGAGATTGTGTGGCGACTCAGGGGCACGACTTCGGATTTAAATGCCACCCATGTAAGTCAGTCTGATAAAACTCTCCCTATGCACGTTAATTTCTCTCATTAGATTCTCAATACGTTCCCGACTTATCGAAAAATTTATATAGGGCACGATCTGTACATACAGTTCGGCGTGCAACATGCCGACATATGCGACAGATTGATACTTTTTCGCTGATCGGCATTTAGTAAGGTTGTAATACAGGGGTATTCATTTATATAGACCCCTGTATGCTTTTATATACACCCATGTATGCATTTATATAGACCCCTGTATGCATTTATATA